GTTCTGCTGACACCCTGCCTTACTGTATAGCGTAGAACAAACCCCTACAACTCTAATCATCACCTGTCCTGTGGAGAAAGATGGAGTCCATTCATCTCAGGGATCCAGTCTTTCAGTAGGGCAATTTCCTCTCAGGTTATCTGCTCCACATTGTACCATGGTGATCTGTCTCTTAGGCCTTGGGAAATAAAAATTGTGTTTCCTGTTTCCTGACTGACCCTAGAAAAACCGGCCGACCCTAGAAAAATGTGTGGACCCTAGGCCTTTTTTTGGGGGTGGTGGATCCCTGCAAGGGACATAATTTTCAAGCTGATCGACCTTTTCTAGCTCCATGATCTGACACCTGAGTGATTAAATGTTGTACAATCAGTTTTCCAACATTGACATTGAAGTGTAAATGCAAGTTTTACTTTGTTAAACTGTATTGTAAGTGTTGGATCACTAGAGATTGCCAAAGTCTAATGAAAGAAAGAATAATCCCTAGACTTACTGACCTAAATTTTTTCAGTACTGAAACAGGAAACACAAAATGTTTTTCTTGGGCCTTATCTGGTCCACATTGTACCACAGTGATCCGCCTCTTACTGTAATTTCCGCTACGTTTTGTTGCCTGCAGGAAGGCTGTAGATTGGTGTGAAATGGCAAAAATTTCCCGTATTCAAGTTATTGCCATGGCAATTATATTGGGTGGTTCTTGGTTTCAATATTAAAACAAAATACCGTAGCTGAATCTTAAGCGTCTGCGTCGAAAGTCTAAACTCTGCATTGTTTAATACAGTTTTGGGTTTTAGTTTTATTGCAATTTTTTTTATCTTGATGTCATCAGATTTTAAATGTGAACATGTAGAAAGGCTGCAATATTTTCAATCTTGTGTTTATAGTTTTGTACAAAAATTTACAGTACCAACATACTTCGAAGACAAGCCGGTATTTTGAAGACCTTTCCTTTCTAGCTTCTTCTTGTTGTACGGGTCATTTTCCTACTTGCGTTTTAAGTAGTGCTGCATACCGGTTCACTGGACTTGGATCCGGACTTGTAAGAATGTTTAGGTTCAAGTCCAACAAAACCTAAAAGTCAAGAACCGAGTCCGGACTTATTACCATAAAAGACCATTTCACATACCCCTTTTCTTTCCAAACCACCCAAAACCTTCCATACATTGCAAAATGAAGAAAACATTGCCATCTGCATTGTCAACTACCAGCCTCTATGTTATGTGGCCAAAGTTTCACCCAGACAACATTGCAAGGTTGCCAACATGCAATATTGTACATGCCATGGGTTTAGGTCCGGACTTACAAGTCTGGAACTGAACCTAAACCTCTGGATTTGAATCCGGACCTGAACCTAAAATTGGGTTCAGGTATGCAGCACTAGTTTTGAGACCAGTACCACCATTACACTCTTCCCCAGTGTACCGGCCACCGTGGGAACGTTAAAAACCCAAACAAACGACCAGAGTCCTCTCTGGGAGTGGGAGGGAGCCAGGAAATTAGGACGACCCCATAAATATTTCACTTCTCCATCAGCTGAAAGCGGACAGGCAAAAATTAAAGTTAACGGATTATGCCACACAATTTAATTTGTTGTTTCTCGGATTCGCCCTGTCCATTTTTTTCTGATTTGCATAAAAGAAAAAAAAATTTGGAGGGTTCTAAATCAACTGCAAAATGCTCTACGAAAGACATATTTTGGACCCAATGGTTAAAGAAAGTCCTTTTCTTCCTAGTTCTTAACGTTTTTCAATGTTTTCAAAGTTCAAAATTTATTGTTTTAATTATAAACCAGCCTGGTATGTTCACTTCATGGCTCGTATTGTAACATTTCCGGCTATCATGGGGTGCCTTGGCCTGTTTTTTTTTCGCCCTGTCGCTTCATATTTTTCTGAAAAATCTGAGAAACAACAAATTAAATTGGTGTGGCCTTATGTTGGAGAAATATTCCTTTGGGGTGTGAGTTGAAGAGGGGAATTGGAGGAAGGGAGAATCGATGTCTTGTTAATGTCTTGTGTAATTAACTTGTGTTGAGTAGCTATAGGGTACTTAGGAATGGATGGGTTAGTGTAATTATGGAAGGCGCTTACGATTTCAGCAACTTCTATTTACACACTTGCAGGGCTTAAAATACTGAATTTCTTTTTGACAAAATATTTATGCAAAAACACACAACGAAAGTTCAGCTATGCTGGGGAGCTTTTTGCAACAAATGATTCACATGAAAAACCCAAAGCACTTACCAAAAAGAGTAGGGGTGACCCAGTGTACTTTGCTAAATATGCCAGCTACGTTGCACCACAAACTACTTAGAAACATGTTTTACCTCAGATTAGGATGTCAAGAGAAGAAGTGATTCATAATACTACACTACAGTTATTCTTTTACCTTGCCAAATTGCAAGTTGTTTTATCGTTAGATGCTGAATTTTTCAGAACCATATTCAGAAACACAACAATGATTTTCCTAGGCCCAGGATAATCTGTGTTTTGAATCTACTCTTATTTGGTATCTGTTATAATACCACATCTTCTTTTTATCTTGGCAAATTGCAGGTTGTTTTATCGGTAGATGCTAAATTTTTCCTGACCATATTCAGAAACACAACAATGATTTACTTTGGCCCATGATAATTTGTGTTTTAAGAATCTACTCCTCTTCTGGGAAGGTGCAATGTGGTTTTTTCGAGGGATGCTGATTGCTGAATTTATTCATTTATTTCTTTATCTATAATTTATTTATAATTTGTCAGGAAATCACTGTAATCAGAAACATAACAATAATGTTCCTATGCCCATGATAATCTGTGTTTTGAGTCTGCTCCTCTTCAGGGAAAAGCGTGTAATCCATGAAGATTTGGTACATCTTCCTGTAGTGAGAGATAAGATTTTACCTGGTGTCTCAGGGGATTCCTTCAAGTTTTCTTAATCCTGAGATGATGTCACGCTATCTCAGGTGTCATACACCTGAGGGCTTCTTAGGACAGGTGTGCAAGTGTAATATCACAATTCAGACTTGTACTAGGTAGAATAGAGATATGTTGATGAAGGTTAGACGTCCAGGTAAACAATACTCATGGGAAATTCAAACTCTACTACTGGATAAATTACGGAGATAATATCCGGATGTTTCGAGTGACGCCACTATTCTTCTTCAGTGTCAGAAATGAACTAACACTCGAAATGTCAGAAAATAATCTCTGTTTTTAAATTCATAAGTACAGTTTAAATTGTTTGAGTATTGTTTTTACCTGGATATCTTTGGTCTATTGTCTGTCATAAATTTTAGTGAAGCAGGAAAAGAGTGATAGATGTCACTAGAAAAAATCCGGATATAATCTCTGTATTTATCAAGTAGTTCAGTTTGAAATGTCTATGAGTATTGTTTACCTGGATGTCTAACCTTCATCAATGTCATATCAAGCATGTCAGCAAAACATAGTGCGCTTGCGTGGAACTGGGATTTTTCTTGGCTTTCGTTGGACGTTTGGTCAACATTGCATTAGAATTTTGCCTGTTGCAGAAGGCATCTTTTCCAACATAATCTTTGTAAACTACAGACGGGATGTTAACCTTATATGCGCGAATACGACCTTATATGAGACGTTCTGCTGAAGTGCTATGTACAATACACTACGGGTTTCACGCAGGTGCAGTACGTTCTGCCAAGGTGCTGTCATATCACAGAGGAAGTGGATATGCGATATCCCAGGAGATTAGTTAATCCCTCCTTAAATCTGCAGATTAAATCTGTAGGCGCAGATTTAGCAGATTTGGCGTAGTTCCAGGGTAACTGGCTTCCTATTGGCTCATTGCCAAGCCTCCTGTGGCATTAGGGACTTGTTACTGTCAAGTGGTGGGGCAAGGCAAAGTTAATAAGTTGGTTATCAGTTTCTCTGATAAAGCAAGGAAAACTAGAGAAGTAACATTTGCAAAGCAAATGCATAATGTTAACCTTCGGACATGGTCTGCTCTGTTAATTCTTACTCATTCACATACATGTACTACTGGTATATGGTGACAGGAGCAGAGCAGACCATGAAATTGGAACACCAGTCACCATGGTGACAGACGTCAACAAATCATGTCATTGGTCAGGTCAGAAGTCACTGTTTGGAGAAGAAGAGGAAGAAACTGAGCAAAAACAATGTTGTCCTTCGGTAAACATAAAAATCTGGCAGACTTTGCCCCCTTGCCAACACTGCTTCAAACCCCTTCCAGTCTCATAGACAAAATTCCAACAATGAAGATGTTTTGATTGCAAGATAGTATAGTGTGTCAATTGGGAATTATAGAAACACACAGCTATTTGAATTCAGAATGTTGCTTTAGCTTTTACCGAATCACCTGTTTTCACATTTAACACCTGTTCGTACTTAACACATCTATACTGTGACGCCTGTTTTCACGTCTATTGTCCTCACTTGTTTCTATAAATGCTTTTCAGGGAATCTCACACACATATTTAGACCTTTCCACATGTTCACACATATACTGAACACCTGTTGACACCTTTGCTTAACACTTTGCAGGGCATTTCGTACCTGGAGCAGGAGATTCGGAAGGCAGGTGACCAGGTGGACTTTCACCTGTAACACCTGTATGATAACACCTGTATTATAACACCTGTTCTCACCTGTATTTTCCATGTTTTTCAGGGCATTTCGTATCTGGAGCAGGAGATTCGGAAGGCAGGTGACCAGGTGGACTCACAGCTGTAACACCTGTATTTTAACACCTGTATTATAACACCTGTATTATAACACCTGTTCTCACCTGTATTTCAGGGCATTTCGTACCTGGAGCAGGAGATTCGAAAGGCAGGTGACCAGGTGAAATACACCTGTATTATAACACCTGTATTATAACACCTGTTCTCACTTGTATTTCAGGGCATTTCGTACCTGGAGCAGGAGATTCGGAAGGCAGGTGACCAGGTGGACTCACAGCTGTAACACCTGTATTATAACACCTGTATTATAACACCTGTTCTCACCTGTTTTTCAGGGCATTTCGTACCTGGAGCAGGAGATACGGAAGGCAGGTGACCAGGTGGACCCGCAGCTGTACTGCCAGCTGGGACACTTTCACCTGCTGTTGGAGGATTACCCCAAAGGTCAGAGGGCATTCTTACCTTATTTAGAAGTTATTACCCTAAAGGTCAAAGGGCATGCTTGCCTTATTTGGAAGTGATTATTCCAAAGGTCAGAGGGCATGATCACCTTATATAAAAGTTATTACCCTTAAGGTCAGAGGGCATGCTTGCCTTATTTGGAAGTGATTATTCCAAAGGTCAGAGGGCATGCTTACCTTATTTAGAAGTGAATGTCAGAGGACATACATGCCTTATTTGGAAATGTGTCATCCCGTCATATGATGGCATCTTGTTGCATAAATGTTAGACAAAAATTGGTTTGTCTGGTGCTGAAGGAATAAAAAATGAGTTTAAGTCATACCAGTTGGTAAGTATTAGCCCATACCAGGCTTCAGTGGTTGCTGAAAGAGTTCTAGAGGGCAAACTGTAAGTTCTTTAGCGGACCAACTTCCCCGGCATGTTATCTGTCTGTTTGGCCAATTACTACTCTTTCCAGACACTTCTATAGCCTGGTAGAGGCTACTTGAGTATTGGTTTTCTGACATTAGGGGATAAATAACACCAAAGAATAGGGGGAAGTGCATGGTTAGTGTGAGAAGAAAGTCTGTAATATCTAAAAGTTAGTTTTGTTTATGAAGAGTTTTTTTTTCAGTTAGCTGAAAGCCACAAAACATTCTACTTTCACCCATATTATTATCCAGGAGCTGTTCAGTTAGGAGCATGATTTAAACATGAAAGAAATTGTGGTAAAACTCAGCGGACCCATTCCGTAAATTTTTTATAGCTTTTGGAAGGAAGCCCCTTTACGAAACCCATTTTAGTACACCTCTGGTAGCCAGGATGTTCTCTCCAAGCAGAGGTTTGGGTTTGGGGTTATTTTTAAGCATGTTTTTAGGCTTTTTTTATAGGGGTTTCCCTTTTGCACTGAATTTTTTTCCCCACCAAACTAAAAAACAACAACAACAAAAATTCAGTGCAAAAGAGAAACCCCGATAAAAAAAGCCTAAAAACACTCTAAAAATAACCCCAAACCCAAACCTCTGCTTGGAGAGTAGCCTGGATGTATCCAAGCCTTGCGAACTTTTCTACAGACTGAATCTCTTTATATCTCACCACCTAAGCTCACAAGTTCACCAAAGGTCACCCAAACTGGGAAAAACCCTGTTGAAAGAATGACTACAACCTGCCAACTGCTGCAGTACTGATACAGATCAATAGGGGGCTCTTTTTGCCTGCACCAGCATCTGAAATCAGCCACTACACATCATGGCAATTTGCAAACTGAAAATACTAGCCTTCTAATTTCTTTTTTACACCCAATTTCATGCACTCAGAGATGTTATAAAGAATGCATCTCTCTGTGCACAACAAATACTCCAGTCTCTCTAGTTTACAAGGCTCAAGGGAGTTTAGGCCTAAGAAAAAAATGTTGTGTTTCTTGTTTAAGTCTGAAGAAATTATGGTTGGTAGGTAGCGATTATACCTTTTTTTATTATCTTTTTTGTTAGACTTTGGCAATCTCTAGTGATCTAATTTACAGTTGAAGAAAGTAAAACTTGCATGAGGACACTTATATTTTGAACGTCAATGTTGGAAAACTGATTGCACAACGTTTCATCACTCAGGTGTCAGATCATGGAGCCAGAAAAGTTTGATCACCCCGAAAAATTCATGTCCACCCAAAAAAGGCTAGGCTAGGGTTGGCAGTATTTTCTAGTGTTGGTTGGGAAACAGGAAGCACAACATTTTTTCCCCAGGCCTCACCAAATACTCCAGTGTCTTTAGTTTACAAGGCTCTAGGGGTTTAGGAGAGTGGCTACATACATCAAAGATTCCTGTTGTGTGACAAGTGTGTATTATCCTCCCAGGTTACCCTGACCTTTGCCCCCGAACTTTGACCTGTACGGCTGATCAGCATGCAATGTCGGTCCCAAGGGATCATGGGATATGCACCTGTTAAAGCCGTAAAATGTTTGCAAAAAAAGAAATGTTCTTCGTAAATTTACAGTGGAGAAAAAATTCTTCACTTTGTACAATTTTGCCTTTGTTGACAAGACTTAATAAATCTTTGTAAATTTTTCCACTATAAATTTTCAATTTTTCATGTTCAATAATCTAAATTATACCAATGAAATATATTTCAAAGGTTTTCAGTCTTCTAGGCGATTTTCAGAACAAGCATTTGTGAAAAAAACACGCAATTTGGCCATTTTATTTTCTCAATTAGAGTAAAAATTAGTAATTCTGACAACCGATAAATTGTATTAGTTTCGCCCTACGTGATAAATGATGACATTGAACATGAAAGTATAATAAACTCTTCACACGTCAGATGTGGGTTCTCTGAGAAGGTCAAGCTTTGTGAAAAAGCGGCTCTTCTGACAAAAGATTAATCGCTTCCTGTTCCGATACCTTTCGGAGCTCAAATTATTATTTTTTCATTACCTTTTAAACGACAAGTTGTCAGAAATCTTGCCTATAATTTGGTATAAATGTCTATAGATAAATAAAAGGGCAACAGATTTTTTTCTATCATAAAAAAATTAATTTTAAAAAAAATTTTGTTCTTTGTTTTCTGTTCTGATACCTTCCGGAGCTCAAATTATTACCTTCGCCAAGAAGGTTATGTTTTTAGTAGCGTTTGTCTGTGTGTGTGTGTGTGTGTGTGTGGTTTAGCAAGATAACTCGAAAAGCAGTGGATGGATTGGAATGAAACTTGGTAGGTGGGTAGGACTTCATGAGACCTAGAAATGATTAGATTTTGGGCCCCCTGGCGGCTTTCCTAGGTACTGCAGCTGAACTTCCGATTTTGATATCTCATGTTCTGGACATGCTAGGGTCACGAATTTTGGTTGGTAGATAGCTCTTGGGGTAGGAAAGAAGTGACATAAGTTTGGGTCCCCTAGCGCCTTGTTCTGGAACTGCAGGAGCATTTGTTGAAAAAAATTTGAAGGGCGATAACTCAAGAACCGGTTGACGTATTGTCGTGATTTTTGGTATGTAGGTAGTTGAAGTGATGCTTGACATAATCAAATGGCAATTATGCAAATCAGGACTTAATTTGCATAATTAATGAGGAAATTCTATAAATCTGCTTTGTTCGATAATAGAACTATGAAACACTTGTGACATCTACTTGAGAACGAGAAAAACATCTGAGGATATAGATTATGTAAATGAGGACCTAATTTGCATAATTAATGGCAAATTCTTATAATTCCATGGTTGTAACTGCTGCACCCCGAATTTCATACTTGCCACATTTGGAAGTTAAGTGAAGGTGAACAGCAATAAACATAACTTATTCAAATCATGACCTCATTTGCATAATTTATGAGGAAGTGCTATAATAGCCTTTTTGTTAAGATAAGGCTGTCATTGGGTGGAGAATATGATCAACTGATATAATCCATGCAAATGAAGCTCTTATTTACAAAATCAATGATACAAATTGTATAATTTGTCACCCGCAAGGGTTAACATCATTTGGCGAAGGTATGAGATCGTGGAACTCTTGTTATTATTTCATTACCTGCCAAAATACAAGTTGTCAGAAATCTTGCCAATAATTTAGGAATTGTGGATAAAACCATGCCAATTTTTTTTTTTAATTGCTTGTTTTTATTTTTTTTCTTTGAACCCTCCTTTTTTTCATGAAAAGTTCAAATCAGCCTACAGTCCGCTATTTATGAATTTTAGTTAAAATCCATAAATAGTTTTCACCTGAATTCTTTTGAATAATCAAAATACTCTTTACAAGTGGTACATGTATTTTGGAAAAGCTCTTTGCAAATTATCATGCTGGTTTCCCTGTTTTGAATAATGTTACCTTGGCCTGATATAGCCTTTGATATATATTTCCACCCAGTATTTGTTATAGGTGTATAAATAGGTGGGTGTACGTGTGGGTTTGCACATGCACCACTTTCTTCAGCAACCAATCACATTCTCAGGTGGCATGAGGGTCTGCACGGGGGGAGACAGGTCTTTCAAGAGGAGGGTATACATGGGGGAGGGTATAAATTTGTAGGCTATACATAAAATGGCCATCTACTGCTAATTTTTTTGTACATGCGGCTCATTTTTCTAAATAGACAATCACAACTTAACAGAGAAGTGAGATCAGATGCCTAGAAATTTTGCAAAAAAATCTTGAGAATTAAACTTAAAACAGATCACCTATGCTTTACACTAAATGTAGGATGACTACAAATAAATATCTAAAAAGGGCAGACAGTGTTTGACACAATTAGGTTAGGTGGTGACAGTTTAAAACTGTATTTAAATGGTGCATGTAAGTATGGACACATGGAACAATCCACTGTTTGGATATTCATGGTAATATTAACCTAAATATGTAGGGACTGTTCATTATTTACATATCCTACAACATGGAATCTTACTAAAGTAGTTTGGGAGAAAGGCACCCTATCCTTAAATCAGATGGATAACGAAACGTCCCTTAGTCTATGAAAAATTGCTTTCATGACATTGAATTTGAACTGACTTCAGAAATTTTAAATGTCAAACAATTAGAACCTAACACTAACACAGATGAACTTTCATGCTACAATTAGAATCTAGTTTCTCTTCAAAAATACATCTACAACCTTGAATGTGCAGTAAATAGTTTTCAAGAATGCAGAAAGAGGTTTAAAAGTGTTCAAGCCCTGTACTCAAACTCTTTGTTGTCAGTCCTTGTAGCTTCAAGAGTTCAATCTCGGTTCTTTTCATGTTCACCACTTGTATATGCTGACATCATTGTTGTTCCTTTGTTCCTTGTAATGTCAAAAGGGAATCTTTTGCGATTTTTGTCCTCACAAATCTAAAAGGAATCAACTCAGGCCTTGCCGGAAGTTGGAATAAAAAAAAACGGTCACATTTAATCCTGGATGTAGATAATGTTTTTCTAACAATCCCACACCATTTAGAAACCACTCGGGCTTGTAACATGCTTGGGGCTAAGGAAACAAGTCTTAGAAAAGTGCTTTTGTAAAGAAAGGAAATATTATAAGAAGCTTCTACTTCTAAAATCTAAGTCCCTTTGGCCTAGGTCTTAATTTTCGTGGCCCTGAAGATCAAGGAAATGGTTGAGAAGGGAGAGAACTTGGTGGGTGGCAACAAAAACTGCAACATTCATTTGTAAACCGGTATAAAAATGGACCCTTACCTTACCTGCTGTGTGCGCATTTGGTACAGTCCAACCTTCGCTAGAAGAAACCATGTGATTTCAAGGGGTGTTAAGAGTAATTTGAGGTCCAAAAAGTAAAATGTTTTTATGAAATTAGTAAAATTGTGAAGAATATTTGTACAATGCTCTGTTTTGAGTTAAAAGTGTTAAGTAATTAAAACAATCTGCTAATTAGCCATCTTAACGAACCCCGTCCTTGGCAACTTCCGAACAAGCCGACCTTGAAGGGACGTTACATTGTACCAGACAGGGGTGTTCAGGATGGGTGCTCGTGTTACAGGAAACAATAGGCCGGGGGCACCCAAACATTGGCAAGGGGCCAGCCCGACTTCTCATGTCTGCTAAAATAACAGGGGAACATTAGCAGTCTTAAGGGTGTTTGTTTAAGGAAGGAGGCTGAACTAAGGAGGCCGAGGACACAGGTGTGATCAGGACAGGTGTGCTGGGATCACCTGTCGGGCGGGGCGGGGCAAGGGTGTCACCTGGGCGGAGCTTTGTTTGAGTACTGTGGATTTTAACATTAAAATCGGACACAACCTTTTTGGGCTATAGGTTAACCTTACAAATCAAACATTCTTGGGGATAAGCGGAGCGGAGCTTTGTTTGAGTACTGTGGATTCTTAAACGCTAAAGAACTTAAAGATCGGATTTAGCTTAACTTTCCACCTGAAAATTTTAGTGCAAAAATTTCCAATATAATGTCACATTTGACAAAATTTTTGGAAGAACATAAAATATTTAGGGGATCGAATAAAGGAGAAAAAAACTCTAATTTACGTCAAGTTGGTAGTTATGTTTGAGCAGTGTAAAGGACTCAATTATATGATGTCAGCAAAACCTAATACAAACATCCCCACTTCTCTTCAGAACTAGGATCTCAAGTCAGCTATCTTTAATGTTACTAGGGCATTCTTTCAGCAGTGACAAGATTTTGAAGGGTTAGAGTGCTAACCTCAAAATTTCTGATGACTATCAGTCCATCTTGTTCACAGAGTGGCCTTAGGTCTCTAAAATTTGGAGGTTAGCAACTCTTACCCTTCAAAAACTTGTCGCCGCTGAAAGAATGCTCTAGTAACTGTAACTAACTGTAACTATATGTGACAAATGAATCTCTTCAACAAAACTATCTTTAAATTTTTAAACAAGCTGTACAATAAACAAATCTATTTTCCTTCATCGATAATTTTATCAGTCTGCCATGTTCACCAATCGTTATTACCCTAATGAAGATGACAGGCAGCCATTGACATTTTTTTTGACCAAGTGGTTGTTAGAGAACTTTGGTATTAAATCAATTTTTCGTTCTCAACAAGACTTACTGCCAGTATGTTGCCCTGTCCTGTCCTGTTGGACCTTCCTGAAATAGTCTTAACCCTGACAAGGAATTTCCTCAAGGAACCAAGAATGTGAAACATGTCGGAAGTGCCTGTCCAGACTTGTCTTGCCCTTGACTTTGACCTTCACATAAAACATATGGCTGAGGCCGACCTTGGATGACCTTGTTATCTGTACGCCCAGAGAGGAAAATGTCAGTGTTTGAAGTAGATTGAACCTAACAGCAGTAGGGGGTTGTTCATTTCTGTCAGGGGTGGAACGGAAAGATGATACACACCTACCACGGACTGTGGAGGATAGGGGATTGTTCTTTACTGTAAGGGGTGGGGCAGGATGTATTCTAGGGTGCTGAGAGATGGAACAAATGTACAGTCAAACCTAAGCATGAAAGTTCATCTGTGTTGGTATACTTTATTGTGACAAAAAGGACTAAACATTCTTGCCAACACTGAGTAAATTGGGACTTACAATTTCTTGCCAACATTCTTACTAGTTGGCAAGAACGTTTAGTCCTTTTTGTCATAGTACAGTCAAGCCTGTTCAAGAAGGCCACCCAGGAGACTGAGGTAAAGTGGTCTTCTTGGCCAGGTTGCTGAATGCTTGCACCAATGAGAAAAAATTTGCCTAACTTTGAGCTATTGTAAGTGAAATGTTGTATTAAATGTTTATTATTTGTTTATAAATTCTCCTTCTGTGTTTTTCTGCAGCAATGTCGGCTTACCAGAAGTTCTTCAGCCTCAAGGAAGATTACTGGAAGGTTAGTTTTACTTTCTTAATTTTCAACACTCAAATATAATATACCAAAACCATGTTCATATCCTATATCTGTCTACATAAGAATATTTCTTGGTACTTCAAATTCATACCAAAAGTGAGACCAAATCATCCATACATAACAGTAATGAAACGCGTAACTCAGTTATGATATGTTGTATCTTTTGATATAGGATAGTCTTCTAATCTTGTTCATTAGTTGCTGTCATGCATTGTACAGTTGTCAAGCAATAAACCTTCCTTATCATAAAATGTTTCTCTAGATAATGAAAAAGATTTAGTTTCTCCTATCATTTTTATGTGGTGTTATGTCCTAAGTTTTTTTGTGTGTGTCTGCCACGGCACTTAATTGAGGTATTGAGTTTAAAACTTCTACATCGCGCTAGTTGTATATAACTAGTATAACTAGTGCAATATAGAAGTTTTCATCTCAATACAGTGTACAAGAGACAAAAGTACAGGAAAGTATGGAACACATCATCTTGGATTATCATTGTATCTTAACCTAAGAAGTATAGAAATGTTGTAAGTTGTAATGATGTGTGATTGTTGTTGTGATTTTAGGATGCCAACTTCCTCTATGGGCTGGGGATGGTCTACTTCCACTTTGGAGCCTTCCAATGGTAAGTTACAAACAAACAAACAAACAAACAACAACAAAATATATGAAACCCATTGCAAGCTTGTACATTGATAAGTGAATATGTGTGTGTTTGTCTGTGTGTGTGTGTGTGTGTGTGTGTGTGTTTGTGTGCACGTTTGAGTGTGTGTGTCACTGTGTGTGTGTGTGTGTGTGTGAGTGTGTGCATGTGTGTGTGTGTGTGGTGTGTGTGCACGTGTGTGTGTGTGTGTAAATGAGTAAATATGTTGGCTTTGTGAATTGTAACTTTCCATGTAGTAGCTACATGCTGCAGAAGTGATGCATTTTTAATGTGCTGTGCTACACATCCATGTAACACACAGTACATGAGCCAGCTGATCCATGTAACCTGTGTGACACCAACACAAAGCTAAACATGTCCACCTCTGTACCAGGGGTATATGGAGACGTGTTGACAGCAGAAACAAGTGGGAGAGCCAAGCAGTGACAGACAGTCAGGCTGTTTTGTGTGGGTTACAATTAGGCCCACACTAGAAACAGAAGATCCCTCAAAACCTGTTGCCACCAGTAACGGTTTGTCTGAAGACATAGAGGTGGAAGGATAGCCCATCGGAACTGTTTTTCCACCCAGAAACCCTTTAGGCGTTTCCTATCTAAAGTGAGCCTTAGACTTGTGTACAGGAAATACCTCAGTATATCTTATGTTAAATGTTATGATGATGACACGACATACCTGGGGACGTGATGAGAGCAGTCCAGAGTCCTGGCAGAGCGCAGCAGTGACAGACAGTCAGGCTGTGTTTGTGTGGGTTACATAGGCTGGGTTTCAAGAAATATCTGTGTGTGACATGCCCACATTATATATTGTGACATGTTGGTATGATGTCAAAAATTTGTTCATGGTTTTGTGGGTGCAGAAAATGCCTGTATGTGAACCATGTTCGTATGAACTTATGAAGTATGATTTTTACTACCTCTGTCAAGAAGATAGTCACTGCTGAAGACAGCAGGGTTCGAAATACAAAGGTGCAATGTGCAAATTGCACATAATTTTCAAGATTTGCACCTAAAAATATTTTGAATGTGCAATTTTGCACCTGGACAATACCGATATATCATGTTTGCACTGCGTATCTCCGAAGTTTCTTGCGTGTCGGCATCGCGCTGGGCGCATGGCAGCCATATTGTTTTCTTTACTGAACATCCTGGGAACAAGCTGCTCTCGTCCCCAGGTGAAGACGCGAAGGCATTACGTAATGATTTACCTAATATGGCAAGATGCGAAGGCCTACGTAGCTGATTTACCAAATATGGTGAGACCCGCGAAACTTGTTGCCCGATGTGGTACGAAGTCCTTGGGCAGAGTAATTTCGGCTTTTTCGTCCAATTTACGGTAAAATTCGGTGAAAAACAGAGTTTTCGGATTTCCCAGCATTCAGTGCTACCCAGGAAATTTGTAAAGCATGAAGAAGGGCCCATGAAGAAAGGGTCGATTTTCAAGTTCTTTTCACGGGCCCAGCCGGCATCAGAGGCTGGTGCAGCCGGTGGCGGTGGACCAGAGGCTGGTGCAGCCGGGGGCGGTGGATCGGGAGATGCCACCGGGTCCACCGTCTCCGAGGATCCCGCGGCCGATGTTGACGACGCGCCCCCAGAGGAGGGGGAGGGGAGCGCCAAGAAGCAAAAATTAGCCGGACGTTATTTTTTTCTAAGCAGTATTTTTTTCCTTATATCGTGCACGATATTCAAGGTAAACAAATATGCAAAATAAATGAAATTTATTGCTCGCATACTGTTGGTAAATTTTTTTTATGACGAGTGAGAGGGCCGGGGGTCACTAGCGGCGTCCTTTGAAGCTAATGCCGACAAATTTTTTTTGTGTTCTTTTTTTTTATAAACACAGATGATACTTGCATTGTTCATGTTTTGTTTGGTCCCTTCTTTTTAATGTATACTAAAACTTCTATATGCAGTGGCAGGCTAAGAAGGTTGATACACAGTAAAACAGTTCCAAACCTAAAGATGCAAGGCTAAATATAATTTTGCACATAAATTTTTCAAATTGCACCTAAAAATTTTGCCAATGTGCAATTTTGCACGTACCTGAAAAAAAGTATTTCGAACCCTGCAGACATGACAAACATGTACCATTCAACTATCTATACATACAATTGTACTTCAGCTCCTCATGATTTTTTAAACGTCATACAGTTTTTTTTGGGGGGGGGGATCCTATCAAACAACAATTTCAAACTAAGTCTTGTAAAATGTCAGAAACCAGAGCCAATTTCAGAAGTTTCTCCAGCAAACTGCCGAGAACCACAGAATTGAATTGTTCTGTCCTGGCCCAGCCTGGTTTACATATTACCCTGGTTTCCATGGTAACCAGAGAAGCATCACTCACACAAAACACAAAGGTCACTCCAAAGGTCACTCCAAATCACCTTCAGCTATTTATAGCAGGACACAGCTGTGTGTGGAGTAGGCAGGGCAGAGGTTAGGGTTCAGAGTTGAACCAGTGGGGTTTAAAACTTGCAGGTAAGTTGTAACGTTACTTAGAACTGTGGCGGAAGTGTCTAAATTACGCACAGAAACTCCGAAGGTTTCGGTGGGTCAGAGGTGAGAGTTGAGAGGTCCCCAGGTGTGTTTAAATGCGCAGGTGTGCAGGAGAGCGGCCAGGTATGAGGGCCTGCATGGGGGGTTAGTGATTACGAATTACGCAACATTTTTGCCGCCGATTATGAATTGCGTTAAAGTTTCAGAGCTGATCACGACTTCACGCTTTACGGCTCATGTACTAGTACTAATTACGTTGATTTTGGTGTAGCTGTCTACGGATTACGAAGACTAAAAAGGCCTGATTATGCCTTACGAAAAAGGGGCATGCAGACCCTCAGGTATGTCAGGTATGCACAGAAAACCACAGAACGGGCGAGGCCGACGTCACCTTAGTTACACCTGCCTTCTGTGACGTCCTGTGTGTAAAGTCTGCCTTTGTTAGAAGACCTGCGGATTGGGGTGGTGTTTCCGGACAACTCTGGCTGCATTGTTACCAGGAAAACCTCAGTGAGCCCAGCACATGGTTCAGCCACGCTGAGAATTTCTGCCTACAACTTTGGACAAACCCAGTGGTTTCGTTTCCGTCAATGTTAGTAGGAAGGAGCTTGGGTTTGAAAGGTCTTTAAAAGTCCAAAGGTTGGAGTACCTGGATTGTTTTTGTCTGCCTGGAGTTAGAGTCTCAAAGATCGCTGGGTGCTTTTTTTTTTTGTTCGCAAGTTTCCACCGAGCGTGAAGAATACAGTGTCAGCTTTCAAAGGTAAGTTTTTGCCTTTGTTAAAATGACATGTTTAACATAGTTAAAGCAACATAATAACGTAAAAGCAGTAAGCCATTTTACATAGATTTAGTAGAAAGTTACGTTTTAATTTGCCATTCATTTGTTGAGTTTATGGTGAGAGTAATGAAGAAGTTGTGAATAGATTTTATGGTATTTACTAGTCAGTGTTTGAATAGCTGTTTGCAAAACAAAGAACGAGCTCGATTGTGGGTCTTTTCTCAGGAAGTTAGTTGATCATTTACCGTAATGATGGTCTTATTTGACCTTGGAGCTTTGAGGAAATGACCTTCAGGACAATTTTTTGTCTTGCCCTACTTGTAAGGACACACATGTAGGTTAATTGGTATCGGTCATGCTGGTCACACCCCTCTTTGGTCAATGGTATGTTCCAGCCAGGTGTCTCAGACAATGGATTGGCTCGGATTTCAGACTCTACCATTCTGTAATGGGGGTCTTGATGCGATTCTTTGTTCTCTGCACCTGTCATGTCCAGACAGTATATGTTATGAATTTGACAGGCTAGCTGTTACTGTTCAAAACCTCTAGATAGTAAATCTTGTTTTTTTTAACGGACATTTGTAACACTCCATATTGTTCTTTAAACTGTATACTTATGATTTCTAGCAAGTTTTTATTGTGAATTTTCAAGGCTTTTCAGGAAAATCTACTTTCTTCTGAAAGTCTACAGTTTTTTGTTTTTGTTTGGATATTTGTTTAGAAGTCTTAAGAGCAACAGGTCAAAAGTTACGTGCACTTTAACAAGCTACTTGAAAAGGCATTATGCTTCACCTCAGTTGAATATGACAATGCTTATACTTTTTTTATACAACATAAAAGTTCTGCAGAGTTTTTTTTTTTCCTTAGAAAGCCCATCCGGAAGTTACGTATACACCGGAAGGTCTCTAAAAAAGGAAGAACCCATCCTCGAAATCCGGTAGCCTTATACTTCCCCTTAGTTGACGATGACTGTCTAACTCACGATTTTTACCTAGCAGGGAGTTTTTTTTTTCTTCAGAAAGTTACCCGGAAGTTACATATTCACCGGAAGGTCTCTTAAAAAGGAAGGGGCCCATCTTCGAAATCCGGTAATCCTCAAAATTACCGGCACGCTTTGTGCGGGAGTAGCTGGGAGATTAGGGGCACCCAACATGCCCCTTTGTTTGTTCTTTTTTACAACACAGCGGAACTTTTTTTACAAAGGTTGAATTTTTAACAGGATTAAATCCTATTCCTAAGCCTGTCAGCTCGAACTTTGCCCCGACCAGCTGGTATGTGACCTTGTGCATCCTTTTTAGTGTGACCTTGTTAACTTTTTTACTGTCTTCTTTTTAGAAGTCAGACCTGTAAAACATTAAGAAAAGAAGTTGTAGTCAACACCAATTCAATTTGGTGGTTCACAGTTTCAAAAAAAAAATATAAGATCACATGAAAAGAGTCTGAAAAAGGGGGGGGGGATATGAAAGATGTCCAAAAATAAAATGTCCAAAAACGAAAGAAATCTTTGAAGGTTCTTGATTTTTTTGGCCATGAAATATCCGAAAAACAAAGAAATGATTTAGAGTAGCCCATAGTTGTGTGACCTTGCTGCAGTGTTGTGTGGCTGTATGTATAAACCATGGCTGTCAGGGTGGGGGATATTTTATTGTGACGCTGCATTCAACAAGTGGTTGATGGATGACTTTGGAAGG